CTCATGTGAATCAGTACTGAGAGTTTCCACAAGACGACGTGTTTACCCTTCTTGTGGGCAGTGCACTTGGATATTGCTGTTATTTAACATGCACTGAAAAATGCCTGTTAGAAGCTTCCAAATGGATCTAACCCACCCTGGGGTGGAAGCTCAGGTTCAGAGAGCAGACTGTAGGCAGGGGCCACACAGTGTGTCTCCTGCACAGCCCTGGGTCCTGGCACTGGTGTTGGGCATGGGTTCTGCCTCTTGTCTCATTTTTTTGCTCCCTCGCTGTGTTATCCACTGGAATTCAGGTTTGGTTCCAGAACCGAAGAGCCAAATGGAGGAAAACAGAGAGAGGGGCCTCGGACCAGGAGCCAGGGGCCAAGGAGCCCATGGCCGAGGTGACGCCGCCGCCCGTGAGGAACATCAACTCACCGCCGCCCACGGATCAGGCCCGGAGCAAGAAGGAGGCACTGGAGACCCCGCAGAGGTGAGGCCACTAACCAGGCTGGGATCTCAAGCACAGGGACACCTTGCTCCCTGGTGGAATTCAACGAGATCTTCTCTCTTTGTCAGCCTGGGCCGAGCGGTGGGCCCTGCAGGGCCGTTTTTCCCATCCTGCCTGCCGGGGACGCTGCTCAACACCGCCACCTACGCCCAGGCCCTGTCCCACGTGGCCTCCCTGAAAGGTTAGTCTGGGGGATGGTGGGTGGGGATGTCAGCCCAGCCTGGCCTCACCGTCTGCTCCCTTCTGCTGCTGGCTGTGACAACCAGCGTCACAGTGGTCACAGTGCATCCTCCCTCTGATTGCCACACGGCCAAGAGTTCAGGTGAATGTCATTGTTAAGCATCCTCCCAACAGACAGAGGGCTTCTCCTGGAGGTGATTTCTCCAGAGTGACACAGCCAGGCCACAGCTTCTTCCCCGTCTCTGGCCAGTCTTGGGTGCTCCCCTGGAGGACAGTCGTCCCTTCTGCTGAGGACTCCCAGGGTCTGTGCAGATGCCACACTTGCCTCCCCCTGAGGTTTGAGCCTTAGGATTTGTGGTTTGCCAGGATGTGCTCCCTGTGACTGTCCTGATGTCAGGCATGGTCTGTGAGGCTTGGAAAGGGAGACTCCTGGTGGCTGCCCCTTGGGGGTGTCAGGCACGCTATCCCTGCACTGAAGGTCCTATCTGTGTCAACTCCTGGCACAAACCAGTTTGTCCAAGGGTCAGGCTGGACAGTTGCATGGGCCTGGAACAGGGCTGAGCCCCACAGTGGGTCTCGGGGTGGGGGGGGTGTCTGTCACTGAGGTCTGAGTGTGGGGTATAGGCTGTTGGAGGGGGTTGTTTGCCACTGGTGCTGTGCTGGAGTCTGGGGTCTCCTTGACCTTTAGGGGTCCCTTTCTTCTCCAGCAGGTGGGTTGGGCCCCCTCCCCCACTGTGGCACTGCATTGCCAGTGTGGAGGCAGAGGGGAGATATGTGGCACCCCCTACGGGTCCTGTGGAAAGGGCATCTGGGTGCAAAGCATGCCCAGCTCCCGAGAAGCACTGTCCAGTCTGGAGGATGGCTAGGCTGTGTGGTGTGCATGGGAGAGGGGCCAGAGGTACTACACTGGGTGCTGGTGTCAGGGGTCCAGGGCTTGAAGGTCCTGGTTGCCAGCCCTGGGTAGAAAGTAGCACTCTGAAGCCTGGAGCCACTCCTGAGTGGTTCAGGGTACTGAGGGATGCCTGGGCACAGTTAACTCTGTGGGTGTTTGAGGCTAGGCTCCAAGGTCCCTGTTCCCAGGCCTCCCAGAGCACCGGCTGAGCAGCCTGGCAGGACAAACTGGACATCCTTCATCTAAAAGCCTGAAATCTAAAATGCTGCCACATCTGAAGCTTTGTGAATGCTGATGTGATGCCACAAGAGAACTCTGCACCTGACCTCATATGATGGGTGGTGGTCACAGAGCAAGTGTACTAAATTATCACATAGAATTATCATCAAGGTATGTGCGCAAGGATATAGGAAACATAAATGAATCTCATGTCTAGACTCAGGTCCCATTCTGAGTATCTATCTATATATATATGCAAGTGTTCCCAAATCTGAAAAAACCCTACACCCAAGCATTTCAGAGAAAGGAAGTGTGGCCTGCGTGGAGGTAGGGTGGCCAGTGGGTCCTGGGAGGAGATTACCAGTGGGATTTGGGTGTCATCCAAGAGGTTGGTGTTGGCAAAAGTACAAATCCCAAATCCAACTGTCCATCAATGCTGTCAGCCTCGGTGAGGGCCAGCACGGCTGAGAGTCACCATGTCTTTAACATATGAATCTGGATTGCCCCATGCTGGTCCTGTGAGTAGGAAGTTGTTCCCTTGTCTCCTTGCCTGGAGGTGTCTGCTGAGCCCTGATGTGACTGGAGGGGTCTTAGAGCCTAGATATCAGGGCAGGGAGGCAGGAGAGCCCATGGGAGACAGAACTGGGGCTGGACATGGGCCCAGGGCAGAGTTTAGGACCAATGGAGGAGCCGCAGTTGGACTGTGCCAGCTGGGATATGAATTGGTCCCTTTCCCTCTGTCTTCTCCTCTGCACCTTCCCTAAGCCCCTGGAGCTTGACTGGGATCCCTGAATCCTGCCCTGTGCCTGCCTTGCTGGAAATGAACTTCCTTCAACCCCACATTTTTGCTGGTGGCCTGGGATTGCACAGGGCCCTATAGAGGTGTTGGGGGGGATCACAGTGCACTCACAAACCTGGGCATCTTTGTGCTTCGGTGGCCCACACTGTGTCCCCATGAGAGCCCTCTCTGACTAGTGTGCAATGACAAGATGCTGAGATGTCCCCAGAGCTGAGCAGAGGGGCCTGTGTAGGCATGTCTTTGCCCCCCGAGCGCAAATGTGCTCGTGCTCACTTCCCCAGAATCACAGGCCTTCCATGCCCGTTTCCCATCTTCCCATCTTAGAGGGAGTCATGGGCTAAATGCCCACTTCTCCACCATCAGAAACAGCCACGTAGGATGACACTGAGGTGGGGACTGGGGAGATTTGCCACTCAGGGCCAGCTGTTGGCCAAGTGGGAACATAGACACAGCGCTGCCAGAATTTCTGAATTTTTAGAAGCTGCTAGAAATTTGAATTTTTTTTTTTTGTCAGAGCATTCCCATCTTCATTCTTGGGGGGAGTCATAACAAAGTACCACAGATGGCTGGGTTGCAAACAACAGAAACTTCTGGGCTCTGGAGCTGGGCTTGGCAAGGACTGCCTTCTGCTGGTGTCTTACCACGCAGGGAAGAGCTTGCTCACTCTCCGGTTCATTTAGCAGGGCTGAATCCCGTCATGAGGGCTGCGTCCTCTAGACTTCATCCCTCCCAGAGCTCCATTCATGGGGAGAAGGTCACAAGCATTTAGCTCATCACAATCACATCCTTTACCTGCTGCCCCTGAGTCTTTGGGCCAAACTGGCAACCAAACTGGTATATGCGTAGCGGCACTGGCTGGTGGCCTGTCCTCATGTGACCCCACTGGGCTGGGAGGACTTTCTTTCTACCTCCCTGCCCCCATTTTGGGCCCTGCCCACAGCAAGCTGCATTTCCAGGCTCCTCCTGCCTCCCCTCTGAGGCCCTGTCCCCAGCCCCTCTGAGCAGTTGGTGCTGGCGTCTCCGGCAAGATGAGCTATGATTGGAAGCCTCCTCTGCTCTCTGTCAGGCAATCTCAGGTCTTAGTTCTTACTGGTTATATCTGTGACACAGCTGGCATTGTACGAGGAGCGGCCCACCTGCATCAGACAGCCAGCGAGTGGGCCGGGCAGACATGACAATGGTGATGTGGTTTGGGCCATCTTTGGATCTAAAAGCATCTGAGTCTGTGCTAGTGTCTCTTGGAAGTAGATGCTGTAAGCTGAGGTCCGTGGGGCTGGTCAGTGGACACCCCTGAATGTAGGCTGGCCTCCGGGCTCAGTGTGCAGCAATTTGCAGGAAGTGAAACTTAGTGTGTCACAGGTTCTGTGCAGGATGGCTCCTGAGCCTTGCAGTCTGTGTCATCTCTTTGCCCAAGCTTCCCTAAACTGTGGGTATTGGGTAAAGAGCCCCAGCCAGGTACAGAAGACTGAGCCTGGCTTTCCAGGGCCCAGTGCCCACCCTCCCTTGCCTTCTTGCACCCCTGAGCTATTGACTCAGCCAGGCTCTGCTTCTAGGGGCTCCTAGCCAGTGAGGGGACTGCATCTGGTGGGTCTGTGTTCCTTTCACAAAGAGAAGTTGGGCCTGGGGGAGTTGCTGCACATTTTGCTCCATGAGACCTCCTCTCTGATTCCCGGGGGAGTTGCCCAGGAAGGTGTCCTGGGGATCCAGATGGTTCCATCAGCCCTGGATGTGTCTTTCACTCAGTGGTCTTGGGGAGCATCTGAGTGACATCTACTATGCTTCTCCCCAGCCAGTGGGGACAGCTCTGAGTCCTTTAGGAGCCATCAGAGACCAAGACCAATGCAAGCAGAGTCCCTTCCAACCCCAGACATCCCAACCCTCTTCTTAGCCTGGTCATGCAGCTGCTGGCAATGCCCCAGAAGCAATGCACCCATCATCCCAGCTCTCAGACTGAGCCAGGCCTTGTCCTTGTCCAGGCCAGGAGAGCTGCTGGGGTTACATAGTCCTGGCCTGGAGATGGCCAGAGTCCTGGGAGGGCCACCAAGTCTATCCCAGCCCAACACCACCCTGGTGCTGCTCCCCTGGGACAGGTTCTGAGGCAGCTGTACAGTCCTGGCCAGAGTGGAGGCCAGTGCAGGGCTCCCAACTCCTCTGCGTGAGCCCTGTCCTCCCAGTGAGCACACGGAGCTCCGCAAAGAGAAGCCCAGGGCTGACTGCCCAAGGGTAGTCTGCTCAGTGACAGACCCTGGCCTAGGAGGGTGACTGGGGCCTTGGAATCTGGCTCTTGGCATTGTTGTGAGGAATGTGGAGTCCTTGTCTTGAGGATGCCGAGTCCAAGAGCATCTGTGGGGTCGTTTGGGGTCTGGGGAGTTTGCTGAGATCTTAGGCTCTGGAAGTGTTTGGAAAGTGAGCATGCTCTTGGGATACAGTGTCTCTCTGTTTGCATGGGGGCATTGATTCCAGAATTTCCGCAGATGCCCAAATCTGCAGTGGCTCAAGTCCCCTTTGTGACATATAGCATTTGCATGAACCCTAAACCACCCTCCTGGGTACTTTAATCAGCCCTAGATGACTTAGAATACCTGGTTCCGTGTAACTGTGACATACATAGCTGTTATAGTGTGTCTTTAGGGGACAATGACAAAGAAAATTTTGCATGTTTAGAGGGGAAGCAATTTTTTTCTTGAGTTGTTCCATCCACAGCTGGTCGCGTCCATGAACCTGGACCCATGAACACAGAGTCAGCTGCATTGGTGGTCAGATCACTGAGCAAATGGCACTAGAGAGAGGAAAAGGGGTACCAGGGACAGTCAGGATAAGCTCTGGGACCCCAGACACTGGACTCCTGGGCACAGTGCAGGGCGGTGACAGCCAAGCTCAGGCTCAGTGTGCAGGGGTGGACAGGCTGGGCCCAGCAGCTAGGTGTCCTGTGAGTTGCTTCTTCCATCCAAGGTGAATACCAGTGAAACACTCCACAGGGCATCCACACCTCACTTTTTATATCTCGATTACTGAGGGAGAGATGGGCCCACCATATCTGGGACCTTTTTCCTTTAATTAGGAAGCAGTTGATCAGCATGGATCTGAGCAA